TCTGTTGTCACCAGGGCTGCTGGCATTCTCCAGGCTTACTTTGTGGTTATGTATTTGAGATCATTCCTTTTTCTCTCCCAGAGCTGGGGTTGGAATTGCAGACTATTTCTACTTTTCTCTTCATTGCCCTTCAGTTTCTCTATGCTTTTCAGCCGGTCACTTCTGATTTCCAGTGCTCTCCTTTCTTTTCTCTCTTTGGAGTATAGGAGTATAGTCTCTCTTTTGTTACCCTGACTATTGTGATTCACAGTGTTGCTTGGAGGAAATTTATAATCTATCTTCAGATTCTTAATCCTCTCAAAGGGATCCTAGTATACAGTAGCAAATGAGATACAGTAGCAGTGAAAGGCCTTTAATATTCTAACTCAGGTAAGGCATGGTGCTGCATGTTTGTAATCCTAGTACTTAGGAGTCTGAGGCAGGAGGGTTATGAGTCTGGAGGCTAGTTTACCTCAGGCTGGCCTGGAACTTGCTATGTTTTTTTTTTTTTTTCCTATGTTTTTGAGCCTGGTGTTGAACTCTTTTTTTTTTCTTTTAAAGTGGTGCTGGGTTCGAACTCAGAGCCTCATGCTTGCTAGGCAATTGCTCTACCAGTTGAGCTCCAGCCCCAGCCCAAGGGCTTATGCTTTTATATGATGTTGGAAGACATCATGTCTTTTAAGTTGTGATTAAATTTTCTGACACAAAACAGGCTACCTTTTCTGACTCCAAGTTCAGATTTGTTTATACTTTACTTCCCTATTTCTTTATACTATGATTTTTAACAGTAGAGCAACCTGCTAACTTGTGCAAAGTCAACAAGTCTTTGTTGTTAGTTTTCCTTTGTCGACAGTGAAGGTGATAGAGATTTCTTTCTCATAGAATCATTGTGAAACAAACTGGGTATGTGTAAAATTTGAATAAATGTGCAAAGTTAGAAATTGAAACATTGTGGCTACTCTTTTATTATGTTTTGTTAGTAAATTTCAGAGTAATTGTAAACATTCTTTTATTTTTCATTCAGAAAAAAAGTATTTATAAAATAGTACATTTCATCAGATTAGCCTTTACATATTTGTAAGAAAACAAAATTGAACCATTTTAAGTAATTAGTGAAAAATTGTTCATATTAAACAATATAACTATCAGAGTTAAGTGATTATTAATAATAATTTTTTCATGGACTTGAAATGGTCATCTGCCATTTTAAGTGTTTTTTCCTTGTATTTAAAAGTATTGGAATACTTTGTTCAGACTTGCTATTGTAACTGTAGGTATTAATTTCCTTACCATAGTCAGAGGTTAGAAACAAAGAAATGTTTGAGCTCATCAGTGAAATCCAACTTTCTTTTGATAATGGTGGTGTCCATTCTCTAGAAGATGACTCTATTCTAAGTGGAGAAATGTGTTCTTGAGATGAATCTCTTTTCTGCCATTGAGGTAGTGTAGATTTAAAAACTAGATGATTAAAAAGCCATCCCTTCTTAGTTCATTTCGAATGTGATTGGCCTTAATTTTCCTAAATTTGTTCTAATTTAAATTGGAAATCTTATTGATGTGATATCTATTGACAAGAACTGGAGATGACTTCAGCAGACAACTTCTCTTACCATTTCATTGCTGTATAGTATAATCACTTTAAGTTGGATTTCTTCAAAACATACTTCATAATTTTGACATAATCTCCTAACACCTAATTGGTTAATACTATCAGTCTGTACAGAAAGTCACCTCAATTATTGATAACATTTTGTAACTAATTTATTAAAAGGTTTTACCAAATTGGGCATAGTGGCATATACTTGTAATCCCAGCAATAGGGAGGCTGAGGCAGGAGGATTGTGAGTTCAAGGCCAGCTTGTGTTGCAAAGAGACTCCATAGTAGGAGGTGCCAAATGGCTACTGGGCCACATTTGATTTGGTACTTGTTTGTGTACTAGGAACTAAATGGTTTTTATATTTTTATGTGGGTGAAAAAACTCAAAAGAAGAATATTTTGTGAAATTTGTTTGAATTCAGGTTTCAGTGTCCGTAGATAAAGTTTTATTGTAATGTAGTTATACTTACTTCCCAAGAATTATTTATGGCCTTTGTGTTGTAATGGCAAACTGTGTAGCTGTGAGAGAGACTCTTACGTCCACGAAACCTAGAATATTTACTATTTACTCTTTAGAGGAAAAGTTTGATGACCCTTGTTCTATAGTATTAAGAAATACAGCTTCCCCCACCCCCATTGTTCACATTTTTTTTTTCTGGTACTGGGGTTTGAACTCAGGGCCTTGAGTCACACTCGTAGGCCCTTTTTTTGGTGTTAGTTATTTTTTGGGTCCCATCTCAGATTGTCCTACTTACAGCCTCCCACATAGGTGGGGTGACAGGCCTGCACCACCGCTCCCAAGCTTACTGTTGATATGGGGTCTTGCTTTTTGCCTGGGTTATCTTCTAAATGAGATTCTCATTATCTTTGCCTCCTGAGTAGCTGGGATTACAGATGTGAGCCACCATGTCCTACCCTTCATTGTTCATTTAAAAAAAATCCTTTATGCCTTTTATTGACATACTTTTACTCTCCGATTAATAAAAGGAACCCATATTCTAAAAGAGTATTTATAATGTATAGGAAAGTATAAAGAAGAAAATTAAACACCACCAATTATGAGATAATCACTAATATATTAGTACATTGCTCTAGACCTTCACACACACACACACACACACACACACACACACACACACACACGCTTGAAGTTAAATTTAATTTTTTTTTTTTGGAGGTACCGGGCTTGAACTCAGGGCCTCTGCTTGCTAGGCAGGTATTCTACCATTTGAGCCATGCTTCCAGTCCTTCTTGCTTTAGGTTATTTTTAAGATACAGTCTTTAGTTAACTTTTAAATTATAGCCAACTTAATCTAGTACATAAGCTTTTGGTAAGTTTTAAGACCTTTCTAATTTGCATTTTGAGATAACTTAGAAAATTGTGAATTTAGACATTGTTTCTTTTCCCAATAAAATACTCTTATTAGCCTTACATTTTAATAATAGACCCAGAGAGAAAAGCAAATTAAAGTATTTCTCTATATAACAGCAATTTACAAAACACATTTGTCGATAGATCTTATCATAAAAGAGTTGAATGCAAATCATACTTATTACAAAGTGAAACAGATTAAGGTTCATAGTGTCCTTTTCTTTTGTCCTAAGGCAGAGGCTCATTCTTGAATGCCTGCATTTTTGTTATGCCTAGTTGAAATAAGAACTTTGAAAAAATTAGTTTTCGTAAAATGGCAGCAGAAAAGATAGGGGAGAGAGAACAGAAGCAACCTCTACGTAATCTTGACAAAGATTAGTCTTATAAACAAAACTTCTTTTAGATTCTTATCCTGAAAGCATCTAAATCGACTTTTGTTTTCAAAAGAGACAAAAGACAGCTTATATAAAAATTAGATACTTCAAGTTGAAATGATTTTAGTATTATACATAGTCTTAAGTAAGAGTTACTGAGGTTAATTTTTGCTTTGACAGTATAAATGAATTACTTTAAAAATCGAAGATTCTGTAGTTGTTTATAGATTTTGTATTACCTGTTGAAAGTTTAGTTTTTGGCATTTTGCCTGTGATCTATTCTGGATATACTGCAAATTGTTTTCTAGGTTTATAAAAGCATATTTTACGATTAAGAACATATCATATATTTACAATATGGGATCAACTTTTGGCTTATATTAGGAGTTTTGAATTTGTGTCAAATATGAACTTGTTAATCAGTGACGTTTATAAATACTTTATAATTTATAAAGCTTATATACTTTACAAATTGTTATCTTGCTACATATAAGTAATGCTTATGGCAACACCAAATGTTGGGTTGTAAATATTTGTTTAGTGAATCATAGATCTTACCCAACACCAAACTTTGCTAATGATTCAAAGAACACAGGCAAGCACTAAGTGCAGATGGAATATTTTCTTTATTTGTAGGAGTCCCAAACTCTGAGAAACATTTAAAAATGTCCCATTCTTCTGCATTATGGGACATTATGGCTTTGGAATAATAATACTAGTTTTGAGCAATGTGTGGAGCTTTTGCCTGAAGGAAGTTGTTTTGTTTTTGGAACTTCTGTTTTCTGTTCTCATATTTACACAACTTATTTGACTACTCCTCCATTTCTAGCCATAAGTTAATAAATCCATAATTCCAGTATTATAATAAATAATTTAGATAGTTGAGCTCTATTTTGTTAATCAGTTTTCTAGATAAGGGACTCTGGCATTTTTCTTCTAGTAAAATATAGTACGCTATCTCTAAATCGTAAGTAGTTGCTGGGTTTTTTTCAACATTACCATCAGGTTTCATCATGAGACTCTTCAATGTATTTAAAACTCTGCCCCCTTATTACACATTTGAGACGATAGGAGCTAAAGTTGAGATTTTAGATATTTGCTGAGACCTTTAACACTCTTTCAGTTCAGTATAAGTCCCATCAGGGTATGGATTTGTTTTGCAGTTAACAAAAAATATGTTATGATTCTCTTACTCATTGTTTTCTTTATTCATACTTGAAATTTGATTTACAGTTCAGAGAGCCCTTAAAACTAGAACTAAATTTTAAAAAAAAATCTTCTAGGAAGCTCTTTTTTTAGGAAAACTTGAGCCCTGAGCATAGTAAAAAATTATTAATATAGAAGGGTTGTTAATTTGTCTTCAAAATTGAATCTGCAAGTCATAGAGTAATAGAATTTTGAAATTTTAGAACCTTAGAACTCAATTAAAATGACCAAATAGTTTTAAAATAAAGAGATACTTAATGTATATTTACTAAATCTCAAATACTGTGTCTTTAGACTCCAGTTCTTATAATATACCTGAACCTTGATGTTATAACTTGTTTTAAATCTGTATGTTTAGTTTTCAGTCCTATTGATAAGACTGTCTCTGAGTTTTCTTTCATACATTTGTTGTATTTTCTCATAAAACTATTGTTTTTTTTTTTCATTTTAAAACTGGGACATCAACATTAAGATGAATGAAAAAAAACTGGAAACAACCCCATCACAGCGGAAATTTCCTGAGTGGATGTCTCCACAGAATAATAGATACGCTGTAGAAGAAAGAAAGGTATATTATTCTGTGATTCTTCTTTCAAATGGGAAATTTAATTTCACTTAGACTGTACAGTGAGTCAAAGTTCACTTGCAAACTGCAGGTCATTACTTAAGTTAGCATTTCTGTTGTGTGAATAACTCAAGATCTAGATGGTGAATATACATAGGCCTTAATCTTAATTCAGTTTGCAAAGTGAGAATTCTTGCTGTCTTTTTATATTCAGTTTGCACGGTTGGCCTTACTAGGGTGTTCCAGTTAACAAGTTAGACAACACTAACATTAATGAATTTTTTGGTTAAACCAGTTTAAGTCCTTATAAATTTAAGATCTGGTAATCAGGCATCAGCCTTTTATGGCCACATTATTACATATCAAATAATAATAAAATATTGGAAACTTCAGGGTATTAAATGCTTTCATGAAAATAGGATTGAAAGTTTGAAATAGAATGATTAAGAAAAACAATTTTATAATGGAATGGTTTTATCATTGTTAAGTTGACCTTATGACTTTATTAGTTTATAAGGCATTAAAACTTAGAACTATAAATTGAGTGCTTCAGTGAAGTTTATTTCAGCGAATATTTATTATAATAGGAACCTTGTGTCTGTTTTGAATTTTATTTAACTTAAGGCGTGTATACAGAAGAGTGTTTTTGAAGATGACCTCCCCTTCTTAGAATTCACTGGATCTATTGTTTATAGTTATGAAGCTAGTGATTGCTCCTTCCTATCAGAAAATATTAGGTAAGAGATTTGCATTTCCTAATTTCATTGGATTAACCCTTATGAGATAATATTATATCTAATATTTGTAAGTATATTGAGTTTTACAGTTGAGGTGTGTTCCCACTGTAGTTATTTCTACATAGATTATCACTACATTCTGTTCTCCTTTTTAAAGAAAAATTAACATTACTGAATTAAATTTGTAATATACCTGTCTGTTCATTAATAAACTTTTCTATTACTTTAGTTTTTTTTACTTTTAATACTTAGGATAAAATATATAGAACATACTGTGTTTTTTTTAGCAATGTAGAAAAATGCAAGTATTACTTAAGTGATAAATACACCTTTATTTCTTGCTAAAAATACCAATATTGAATAATGGGTATGACTGGCTCTTATTTATTTAGTGATTATTAACACCAAATGATTCTTAACAAGTAATTAGAAATGACAGTTAATACTTTTAATAGTTGCTCTGCATCTTAATTTGTTTTCTGTTGCTATAGCAAAATCACCACTGACCTGAGTCACTTACAAAGGAAATAAATTTATTTCTCATACATTTGGAGGGTAGGAAATCCAAATGCATTGGTTTGGCATTTGACAAGATCCTGTATTATAACATGGCAGAAGAGCAAGTAAACAGAGATATAAAGGGCAAGAGATGGGGTGGGCTGATCTTAAACCCACTCTCTCAATAACTGACCCATTCCTTTGACAACAACATTAATCCATTCAGGAGGCAGAGCCCTCATGATCTTATTACCTCTTATTGTGCCATCTCCCCCCTATTCTTTTTTTTTTTTTATATATATCTCTTATTCATATGTGCATACAATGTTTGGGTCATTTCTCCCCCATTCTCCCCTCTCCTTCCCTTTCTCCCTGACCCCTCTCTCCACCTCCCCCTTCCCCCCGCACCCTTGGCTTTCAGGCAGAAACTGTTCTGCCCTTATCTCTAATTTTGTTGAAGGGAGAGTATAAACAATAATAAGGACAAAGCATTTTTGCTAGTTGAGATAAGGATAGCTATACAGGGAGATTCCTCGCATTGCTTTCATGTATATATGTGTTACATTCTAAATTGATTCTTCTAGAACTGACCTTTTCTCTAGTTCCTGGTCCCCTTCTCCTATTGGCCTCTGTCATTCTAAAGTTTCTGCATTAGTTCCTTTGCATTGAGGACATCAAATGTTATGTTTTTTTTAGGTTTCTTACCTATCCTCATACCTCCCTTGTGTGCTCTCGCCTTATCATGTGACCAAAGTCCAGTCCCCTTGCTGTGTTTGCCCTTGATCTAAAGTCCACATATGAGGGAGAACATACGATTTTTGGTCTTCTGAGCCTGGCTAACCTCACTCAGGATGATGTTCTCCAGTTCCATCCATCCATTTACTTGAGAATGATAAAATTTCATTCTTCTTCATGGCTGAGTAGAATTACATTGTGTATAAATACCACATTTTCTTAATCCATTTGTCACTATTGGGGCATCTTGGCTGTTTTCCATAACTTGGCTATTGTGAATAGTGCTGCAGTAAACATGGGTGTGCAAGTGCCTCTGGAGTAACCTGTGTCACATTCCTTTGGAATCCCAGGAGTGGGATTGCTGGATCTATGGTAGATCTATGTTTAGATTTTTAAGAAGCCTCCAGATTTTTTCCAGAGTGGTTGTACTAGTTTGCATTCCCACCAGCAGTGTATAAGTGTTCCTTTTTCCCCACCCTTGCCAACACCTGTTGTTGGTGGTGTTGCTGATGATGGCTATTCTCACAGGGGTGAGGTGGAATCTTAGTGTGGTTTTAAATTGCATTTCCTTGATGGCTAGAGATGGTGAGCATTTTTTCATGTGTCTTTTGGCCATTTGAATTTCTTCTTTTGAGAAAGTTCTGTTTAGTTCAGTGGTCCATTTCTTTATTGGTTCATTAATTTTGGGAGAGTTTAGTGTTTTGAGTTCCCTGTGTATTCTGGTTATCAGTCCTATGTTTGATGGGTAGCTGGCAAATATTTTCTCCCACTCTGTGGGTGATCTCTTCAGTTTAGAGACCATTTCTTTTGTGGAGCAGAAGCTTTTTAGTTTTATGAAGTCCCATTTGTCTATACTTTGTCTTAGTTGCTGAGCTGCTGGGATTCTATTGAGAAAGTCCTTGCCTATACTTATTTCTTCAAAAGTGTTTCCTGCTCTTTCATGTACCAACTTTAGAGTTTGGGGTCTGATATTAAGGTCCTTTATCCATTTTTAGTTAATACTAGTACAGGATGATAAACTTGGATCTAGTTTCAGTTTTTTACAGACTGCTAACTAGTTTTCCCAACAGCTTTTGTTGAAGAGGCTATCTTTTCTCCATTGTTTATTTTTAGCGCCTTTATCAAAATAAGTTGGGTATAGTTCTGTGGATTCATATTCAGGTCCTCTATTCTATTCCACTGGTCTTCATGTCTGTTTTTGTACTAGTACCATGCTGTTTTTATTACTATTGCTTTGTAATGTAGTTTGAAGTTGGGCTTTCTGATACCTCCAGCATTGTTCTTTTTTGCTGAGTACTGCCTTGGCTATTCATGGTGTCTTGTGTTTCCAAATGAATTTTAGGGTAGATTTTTCAGTCTCTTTGATAAATGTCATTAGGATTTTGATGGGAATTGCATTAAACATATAGTTGCTTTTGGTAGTATGCCATTTTTACTATGTTGATTCTACCAATCCATGAGCATATCTCCCCATATTCTTGCACTGAGGATTAAATTTTGACATGTGAGCTGGATGAGATATTCAAGTCATATTTCAGAGTCATTGTTAAATCAGGACTCTGCAATATGCAATGCAAGGCTTTTGAAGCATTTTACAATCAGAAGCAGTAAGGAATTAATTCAGATCTGCTTAGCCTAACAGATAAGTACATTAAAACTCCTCTTATAAATATGCTAAATAGTGAAGCACAGTGGCTTATGCCTATAATCTGAGGTAGAATGAGGAGGATCACAGTCAAGGCCATCCCAGACAAAAAGTTAACAAGACCCCCATTTGAGTAAATAAGCCAAGCATGGTGGCATGTGTCTGTAATCCCAGTTACAAGGCAGGCATATTACCATCTGAGGCACCCCAGGCAAAAACAAAAGACCCAATTAAATAATAACGAAAGCAAGCAAGGACTGGGAGCCCTTCTATCCTGGCCATGGTAGTGTGACCCTGTAATCCAAATTATGTGGGAGGCTATAGTAGGAGGATTGCCCCGGCAAAAATGTGAGACCCTGTCCAAGAAATAAATAAGGCAAGATTATTCAGGGGGCGGGGCCTAGCAAGTGCAAGGCCCTAGTACTGCTAACAACAACAACAAAACATCGAAATGTAGCAGATGCACCATGTGTGTTCTCTTGCTCTTCTTTCCCCTGTGCTGCTCTGAAATAACTTTTCAAGAGATTAGTGTTTAGCATCTCCTCACATGGTTTTTTATTACTTTATAATTTTATGTCCAAATACTATTATTGTTCATTTAAAAACACTTAAAAATGCTACCAAACTCTATGTGTACTCTGTAACTTACTTTTTACTCAGCCTTATGTTTTTGAGAATTTTTGTTTTTGATATGTGTAGCTCCATTTTAGCTTTTATATGATATTCCACTGTTTTAGCATGCCACAATTAGTCTGTTTTCTTGATTTTTGTTTAAAATTTTTTCCCCAATAGAAAAAGTTTTACAGTAGACATTCTAAAATGCTGTCTCTTTGTCTACATGTATTTATGAGAAAAGCTACCATGGTGGTCATAGTGTTTATGCATCTTGCAGTTAGACAGTGTTGAAGTTTTTTCTCCAGATAATTTCCCCAAGTTTTATATTCCTCAGCAGTGAGCAGTCCCCCTGATAGATGTCAGTACTTGATATTGTGAACCTTTAACTTTTGTCAAATCAGGTAGATATTTATTTGGATATATTGGGCATTTGGATTTCCTTTTGGGAATTATTGATTGCTGTCTTTTTTCCATTTTTGTGCTAGGTTATTTTTCTTAATGATTTTTTGAAGAACCTTTCATATTTTCTGGCTATCCACTAAAAGTTGTATGCATCACAGATCCCTTGTCCCAATCTTTGGTTTGTCTTAATTCTTGAATGATGTCTTTAGTTCTGCAGAAGTTTAAAATTTCAATGCATTTACTTTATACTTTTTTCTCCCTTTAGCATGAATCTGTCTGAGGGAGAAGTGATAGGATTTGACATGGAATGGCCACCCATGAGTAATAAAGGGAAACCAAGCAGAGTTGCATTAATTCAGTTGTGTGTGTCTGAGAGCAAATGTTACTTGTTTCATATTTCTTCTATGTCAGGTAGGTATCTCTTCATTTCATTTGTATATGGCTGATAATTGTAGTATATCAACTTTATCCCTCTAAAATGTTCTTTCATTAGGTAACACTTCTGAGTATTTATGTTTCACCTGATGACTTATGTCTAGTATTCTATTTAATTTCATAATAATGCTGTGAAGCATTGATAGTTTCCTGTCATAGAGAAGAGAAAAATGATGTTTAGAGGATGTAAATGACCAGAAATACACTGCTGGTACTAGCAGAGGTGGTACTCAAACTAAATTTTTTTTTTTTGTCACTAGTCAGTAAGAACTTTTTGCTTTAGATTAGGAAAAGAAATAGTTAAGGTGAATGTGTTTCTAAAGTTAATGTAACATAAACACACATTTAAAAATACATGTGGTGTTTATAAGCAGTAGAGAGAGCAGGGCTGGGGATACAGGCCTGTAATTCCAGCACTCTGGAGGCTGAGGCAGTAGGATCACAAGTTCCAGTCCAGCCTGGGCTGAATGGAGAGACCCTGTTTCAAAACACAAAAACAAACAAAAAGAAGTAGACAGTAAATCCATCATCCTTAAGAGAGCATATGGAAATAACAATTTAATGTTACAGTTTTTCCACAGGGATTAAAATGGTTGCTTGAAAATAAAGCAATTAAAAAGGCAGGTGTAGGAATTGAAGGAGATCAGTGGAAACTTCTGCGTGACTTTGACATCAAATTGAAGAGTTTTGTGGAGTTGAAGGATGTTGCCAATGGAAAGGTAGAATAAGACATGTATTATTTCCTATGCAACGCAATTGTGTTTCACAGAAAACGCTGTTTATCTCAGTATTTGAGGTTGTTGTTGTTAAAAAAACCAGCTTAAGCTATACACTGTTTTTACGGGAATACAGGAGTGCACAGTTAATGCTCCATAATGAAAACCTTTGGTTCTAATTCATGGTTTTGCATACAGTTTTCCGAAGCAAGCATTTTCTCTCCCTTTTGTAATTTTTTGTATATTTCATTTTATTTCATACATTTGCAAATTTAAATGTATTTTAAATTTATCTTTTCAATGCATTTATACCAAATAGTTTTTAAGGAAGAGAATAATGTAGCTATTGTGTCATAGTCTGACCACTAATGCCATCTTCCATATTTTACATATCTTATTAATGAAGTTATTAAATTAAATTCTCATTTTTAGCCAAGTATGTATTTGGCTGGGAAGTAGAAGATGTACTAAATTATTCTACTTTTTTCCCCCATGAACAATATTTTTTAAAGTCCAAGAATTTTAATACCTACATTTGGAAAATTTTGGAGTTAAATCTTATAACATAGACTTCAAATAAGGTTTGTGGTGACACAAAATTTATTCAAACCATGTCCAGTTTTATATGTGGTCTTGTCATTTGGTGGTATTTAAGAATATCTAATAAGAGAAGGAAGTCACGTTTGTTATGTTGCTTTTGTATTACTTCCAGTTAAAATGTACAGAGACCTGGAGCCTCAATGGTTTGGTTAAACACCTCTTAGGTAAACAGCTTCTGAAAGACAAGTCTATCCGCTGCAGTAATTGGAGTAATTTTCCCCTCACTGAGGACCAGAAGCTATATGCAGCTACTGATGCTTATGTACGTACTTAAAGATTTTTAGGTTGTGATTTTTTTTTAAACTTTATCACAAATTTCTTTAGAAAAATTTTATGGTGGTCTTGATATAAACTCAAGTATTTGATATTATTTTGGCATTAAAAAATGCCTAGGAAGGCATCAAGTGAGATTTTTAATTCTCCATGTTAATTAGTAAATACCAATCAACAGATTGTTCAGTGCTAGTTATTTTCATTGTTAAGAAGCCAAAATAATGTCCAGTTTATGTGTAAAAAAAATGTGAACTTCCTGAAAACATGAGAGGCTAATAAATTCAAGCCTAGCAGGCACAAATGTTATTGATATATTTGATATGTAAGCAATTTAAAAGAAGAAGTCTATTGCTTTATTGAAACTGGCCTTATTCCTTATATTTATATCTAAAATGTGGTGAAATTTAGAAAAATTGCCTCCAAATTTAGCTTGCTGTTTCTGTTAGATATATTTTCATGTTTGATAGTTTATTCATACAGCATAAATTTTAAAACTTTTTTTTCCTTGTTTGTGGTACTTGAGTCTGAACTCAGGGCCTTATGCTTACTAGGCATGCACTCTACCAGTTGAGCTACATCACCAGGTAGTTTTTGGATTTTTGAGACAGGGTTGCTCTTATGTAGCTTAGGCTGGCCTCAACTCCCTGTTCTCCTGCCTCAGCCTCTCAAATGGTAGGATTATAGGCGTGTGCCACCATACCTGTCTTGAGCTTATTTTTATAAACAGCGTTATTGTGTACGTTTACTTTAATTTTAAAGAACTATATTTTACTCCACAGTGAAATTTTTTTCTCGTAATTCATACTTTTACTTATTGATGAAGAAAATCTTCTTGTTTCCCATTTTGCAAATTTTTTGGAATGGATACTCCTTTATTTTATAAATGAAAAAAATTTTGTCATGGCAGTAGGGTGATAATTTTCCTTTTAGAAAAATTCCAGAACTTGGTGAGACTAGCACAAATTCTATGATTCTGTATTCATGAAAAGTCAGTGTGATGTGACTGTTCCTGTAATAGTTCTTAATAGGACTGTTCATACACTGACCAGTACTCTCAGCTGCAGGCCAACAGGTTTGTCTCGCTAGATTGTGTTTTGATAGGTGCCATTTAAAAGTTACTTGATTTGGATACTTTTAATACTATGTGGTAATAAGTGAAAATTTTATTTTAAGGCTGAGAGACAGCTTACTTCCTCCATTCTCACAACTGGAATGGTGATAAGATGAAGACATAGATCTTTATGTAACATAATAGGCTGAATTCAGCTTTTTGGGTGCTTTAAGAATCATTCTTTTGGAGTCTTTTAAAGGTGGGACATACAGGTTTTTTTGTGTGGGAAGAGAGGACAGGGCTGAGGTTTGAACTCAGGGCTTCAGAAGCTTGCAAAGCAGGTATTCTACTGCTTGAGCCACATCTCCAGTCCATTTTGCTTTGGTTATTTTGGAAGTGGAGTCTTGTGAACTGTTTCTCCAGGCTGTCCTCAAACCTTGATCTTCCTACTGTCAGTTTCCCAAGTAGCTAGGATTACAGGGGTCAGCCACTGGCGCCTGGCCGTAGTTTTATTTTAGTTATCTCTAATGTGTTCCTTACTTTTCTGGTTTTCTACAGGCTGGTTTCATCATTTTTCGAAAACTAGAAAACTTGGGTGGTGCTATGCAAATTGTTGCTACAAATAAAGGTATGTTATGATCTAAAAATAAATGAGAAAATGTGAATTTGCTTTTTTTGGCGGTTATCATCAAAAATACAGTATTCACATACTTTCAATGCATTTAGTATTTTTACAACTTCTTGAATGTTTGAAAAGTGTTGCTGTTAAGGTAAGATCCATCAGGATCAACAATAAAAGCAGGACAATAAAAGCAGGACTTAGTGCTTTTATTTTGTTGCATTGCTATTCTTTAGGCTTCTAGAGTGGGACTTAATGTCTTTGGTAGCATTAGTGAGGCAACCAGCTTTTCCCTACACTGGAGATGATACATCCTTCCTATAAATACTTAGAACACTATGTATTTAATACTTTGAAATGTTTAAGATATTTTATAGTGTTCTGGTTTAGATTGCTAGATACTTTTCTGCTTTTTTCTTCATTCAACTTCAGTGTCCTTGTCAGATGACTTGACAGGTCAGAACTTGCAGAAGGATTCAAGTCATGTAGTAGATGAGTATGAACTGTTGTGTTACGTACACCAATGGTTGAATCCTAACTGGTGACCTGTTTGGAATATGCATAATATGATAATATCTAATAGAACAATTTTAAGCATTAAATGAGAGAAAATATTCAAAGCACATATGTTGAGATATAGAGACAGTTGTTAATACAGGTTGATCATCCTTAATCCTAAGTCTGAAATGCTGTGAAATCTGTAACTTTTTGAGTGCTGACTCTGCATATATCTGTTCAAGAATTATTGGAGAATGTGATACTTAAGAAAAGACCTGAAATAAGAGCAGGCATTACCTAATTGAACAGTAAGGGAAAAGTGTTGTTGGCACAGAAAATAACAGGTACAAAGTTTGAGAGGTAAGGAGATCATGATATCTACAAGCAATTGACAGTTGTTCAGCATAGTAAATGATTCATTGAGTAGGACAGAGTGAGTGATGTAAGAGAAGCAGAAAAGAAGGTGGGCTGTGTTATGGAGTTTGTGTTTTTTCCTAAGAGCATTGAAGCTATTGTGGGTTTTAAATAGGGGACTGAAGTGCATTATATAGCAAACAAACTAAAACCAGAAAACCCCTTGAGCTATGGAGTAGAAAAAGAATTGTAGTAGGGCAGAGCCACTGTGGGAAGACCTTTCAGGTGGCTTTTATAGTAAACACTGAGAAGTAATGGTAACGATGAGAGGCATGTGTCAAGATCATTCCTGTGTTGGCACAAATATCAGGGATGAAAAACATTGATGAGGCAGAACAAGGTGTAGGGATGAGGAGTCTTACAGTTGATTTTAGGTATGTTAAAGGAGAGAAATGTCCATGATAGCAAGGGTGAGGTAGCCTGGATGCACTTATATGTCTGTTGTATCTCAGAGGACAGTTTCTGAGAGGTAAAGAATAGGGACTAAGAGTCCTGAGTAACCCTCAGTGTCTAATGTTTGCATGGAGGAGGGGATACCACAGGAGCTGCCATAGGCCTGAAGGAAATACAGGAAGTATGTTATGCAGAAGGTCAAATAAAGAGCATGTTTGAAATAAGAGGGTGTTATCAGCTGGTTTAAATTTTGCTGTGAGTTTGAGAAACTGAGTAGGTTTGGTAATGTGGCAATCATTTCTAACACTTGACTGTAGTAGCTTCAGTGTACTAGAAGGTGGTCGTTTGGGACATGTACTATTAAAACAGAAAAGGATCCAGAGACTTTGGTAACATGAATGTACTATAACCACAGCAAGAGCGGTGTAGTGGAATGATGTGGGTAGAACTTACATTATCGTGAATGAGGGAGTAAGTTAAATCTAAGGAATGTAATCATAAGTATAAACAGCCTTTTTTAATTTAAAGAAGCTTGGTTTGGAACGGGAATATATTAAGTCATATAACACATGTTTGCTAAGTATTTATTACATGTCAGGCACTATTTCAGGGAGCAAGCCATATGGACATCTAAAAGGAGAGGCTAGCATTCTTAGAGGAAAGAAAACTCAAAGCCTCTGAGCGTGATTGCTTGCTTTGTTTAAGGAACAGTGAGGGTAACTGACAAGAAAGAATAGGAGTATGAGTGGTAGGAAACAAGGCTAGAGAATAAGTTTGGGCCAGGTCATTTAGGACATCATATGCCATGAATATGACTTCATATTTTATTAGTGAAAATAAATATGGTGATGGATGATGGGAAACCCATCCATGTTCCACCTTCTGTGGAGCAGAAGAATGATAGGATTAAAAGCTTATTTTAAAAGGATTTTTTTTGGTTCTTGAAAGCAGGCAAGTGTTTGATAGGGAGTTAGAGGGCTAATTTCAGTAGTCCAAGCAAGAGATAATGATTGATTAGGCTAATTGCAAGAAAGGTGGTGATATGTGGTAGGTTTTGTAGGTGATTTGAACGTATACATTGTGACCAGTCTGTGGATGAATTCTCTGTCAGGGGTGAGATGGAGATAAGATATTTTGGTTGAATCAGCTAATGAACTGAAGGATCAGTTATAGCAGAAGATTATGAGAAGCATAGGTTTTGATGAGAAAAATCTAAATTTCAATGTTGGACATGATAAATTTAAAGTTTTTTTTTTATATCCAAGAATATGTTTTACTTGGAAAGGTGGTTCTCGAATCCAGGTTAAGGTTGGAGGTGTATGTTTGGGAACTATATGCATAAAGTGAAACTAGATGATAAACTAGGCAGTGAGTGGACTAAAGCACAGACGGGATATGACATCGAGGGCACACCAACATTTAGAGGTCAGGAAGGTGAAAGAGCTGTGAAAAGAACTGAGAAGGGCCACCCATGAAGGAAGAAAGAAATATAGTATTCTGTGGCTCTGCCTGTAATCTCAGGTACTTAGTTGGCAGAGCTGGAGAGGAGGATCGAGACAAGCCCTGGCAAAAAGTTAGCAAACCCCCTCTCAACAAACAAGCTGTATGTGATGGAGCGAACCTGGAATGGGAGGATCATGGTCTGAGGCTGGCCTTGGGCAAAAGTGAGACCTTATGTGAAGAAAATTTAAAAGCAAAAAAGGGTCAGGGGTATGGTTCAAGTGTTAGAGTACCTATTTATCAAGCATATGGCCCAGAGTTCAAGCCTCAGTACTGCCAAAAATCAAAAACAAAGAAGAAATCAGGTGAAAAAAATGTTTTAAGCAGGAGGAAGTTGTCAGCTGTTTTAAATCTGTATGAGTGTTTGATGAGATGAGGATCTAGGATTAACAAGGTTTGACAATGTGAAGGCCAGTAATAACCTTCCCAGAGGCAGCTTTGCATACTCATGGAGTATAGATGGGGCAGGGCAGCAGAAATGGGATAATAAAACAAATGAGCAAAAGAACAGGTGCAGTGCCTCATCTGGACATATTTACCAAATACTCTGCTTCACAAATAAACAGTTGGTACAACTGTTAATTGTCCACAGCTGTCTCTTTGCCCAAACCTAAAGGTTATGTACAGGCTTCATCTACATCTCCTTATAGTTATGTCTGATGCATGCATCTCCCTTTAAATTTCCATCTTGGTTCTGAGGGCACCTTATTACATAAAGCTATTCCTCATACTCTGGTTCTTGGAAAAGCCCTCACATATCTTAGAAAGACCCCATAATTATGTATGTAAAACTAACATCCACTTTCCATCAGCTCATTAAAAATGCTTGAGACCTGAGAGCCAGGGGCATTTGACTGAATAGTCAGGTTGCCCACTCTCATTCTATTTTGAGAGTGTACTTTAACTTTTGCTTCAGTAAATCTTGCTCTGTTAAAATACCTCTGTGCGTCTGCCCCTGAATTCTTTCTTCTGCAAGCCCAAGAACCTCCTGGATCCCAGATTTTTGGATCTCTCAGATCCGGTGACATCTTTTGTCGACTGTGGCAGGACCTACTTGAGGAGTTGCCAGTTCCACCAGAGGTGATTGCTTCCCCGGAGGACCTGGTAGGCCAATTTCTAATGTTTTACTTTGTCAGTTTAGCATAGAATTTCCTCTCACTTGTACACGCCCAAGTCTTTCTTTCTCCTGAGCTCAAAACCAAACTGACATACAGTATGGACATAGGTTGAGCACTTAAATGTCATAAGAATACTCACTGCTTGAACACTCCTGTGACAGGATAAGGGGGGCATGGAGTGGGACCAAGTGGCATTAGACCTTCCTGTGCACAAGTTAATCACTGTGCAACAGTATAGGACAGTACACTGTCATGCACATCCAATCCCTGCAGCTTACACCCATTAGGATTTTGCCAGAATGGATCTTGCCTGTTTCCTGACTTTTTCAGGTCTTTCCCTTGGATGTCAATCCACCTTGTCTTGCATCAGTTTATGTGTCTCATACCTATTTTGCTTCTCTGTTTCTGTAGTAGTGGAAGACACTATGTGATTATTTTTGCTCTGAGTGGTCAGGCATTTCACTTCAGGGCAATACTCGATTTATGTTAGATATTTAAATACTTTATCCCAACCATTTTATTCACTGTTAAAAGATCTGGAGAATAATGATCTCCTCTCATGAACTTGTCTCATACATCACATCACCTGATCTCTTGTCACACATACAAAAATGTGGGACTACCCCAGTTAGCTTGACTTGGACTGATTGTAAACCTCAAGAGATCCAAGCCTATCAAGAGATCAGAGAGAGCCCTGAAGGGTCAAATTCCTTCCCTAGTGACACTAGCTTGTTTTCAGGTGGCATAGATGAACTTTAATTGGGGGTCTGGGACCATATAGGATCTTGGAACAGAAAGCACACTAATCTAGTGGACTTCATTCGGGGCTTTCTAGGATGGAGGACTCAGGAAGGCTTCACAGCTTGGAGTGGCTACTGTCTGGTTAGGGTATAGACTCTGGGATGCTGGAGTCAGCTGTGTCTGGGGGAGGGGGGGGTCACTTCTCACTTTGACAAAGACAAGGCAGGAAAGAGGCCCCAGGATGCTGGATCCTCTCCCAATACTTTCAAGATTCCCTGAGGAGGAATCAGGTAGTCCGCTATTATCTTTTTTTCTTGTCTTTTACAGACCATGGAAGGTTTCCAA